TCCCGGTCTACCTTTCTGTGCAATGTAATCAATCCCACTGGAAACAGGAAGAAACATCTTTGTTGACGTTCAAGCACTCTCATTTTCCTTCTTTCAATTTAGTCGAGAAATTTAGCTTATTATTCGAAGACTCTGAACCTGGATTTCCCAACGAAACGTTGTCAAGATGTCGCGAGAACGTCGCGTTTAATTTGCCACTTTTACAGACAGGAAGATGTCGTCAATTCCAGGTATAAACTGAACTTATGCTCTCGGGAATTTTTTTACAGCCATTTCCTCCGATCGATCGAAAACACGGGTGCATTTATTGGCTAATGTGTGACGTTTTAAAGAAACTATAAAATGATAGAACGTTGGAAGTAACTAGTAATTTAAATAATCTATTTAAATATATTTGCTGGTAGATTGCATTGACACAGATGTGATGTAACAAATATTGCTAATTTAGAAAGTAGCATAATTGCCAGCGGTCTTGTTATGTCTCCCTAGAGGAGACATCCCAGTGCAAAGGGTTAAATAACCGTTTCAACGACAACTATTTTCAACGAGAAAACTTCGTTATCAACGTAAACCCGTTCGAAACAACTCGTCCACTTAATTTGTTGACCGATCAAACAAATCCAGGAATTTGTTTTGCGAAAATTGTATCATTCTCACGCGAAACCGAAGCCATCAGGGTCAAATAGGTCATTTCTAGTAATATTTTTCGTACAAAGAATTTATTTTATTATTCATTTTATTATAGTAGTGGGATAAGATCAATTGACCACTTTTTGAAAAGATAGAGGTAGGAGATAAGAACCTGGAGACGAAAAACGATGAAAGTCTAATAAATAAAATTATCTTTCGAACTTGTACGCTTCTTAAACTTTTTTTGTACAGTGTCAAAAACTTGTGAATATTATATTTTAAATAGTCCAATAATCGTATTTTAATTTTAAATAATTAGGACCACATAATACTAGATTGTAATTTACAATATCTGCTTCGATAAACAAGCATAGTAACTCGTGCATACATTTTGAAAAGAATTTGTTAATACGTTGAACATCGAAGAAAACCTCTTCGAAAAATCCCACAAAGTCAAAGTCAACTGATCCTCATCTTTGAAATCCTAATAAAATTTAGTTTATCTGTACACATCTCTGTAAGAATTAATTTCTAAGCCATCAACGTGTTCAATTTAAATAATCTTTTGGAAATATAAAAATACTGAAACTAACAAGAATTTGTAAGTTCATGATAATAATGACAAAATGCTGCACAAGATAGATTAGAAAAATACCTCATTCTCGCCTTGTTTATATAGCTTAGATTTTGAATAAGACTAAAGCATTTAGGCTAGATTTATAGCAACGTAACAGAACCAAAGCTAACATAGTCTGCAAGATCGTTGTATATCTTAGTAAATACTGTAATGTTAGATTTGCAACTAGAAGTTCCTAATTATCAGGCTGCAGATTTGTATGTAAAATAAAAATTGTTTGCATTAAGAGCAAGAGACAGAAATTCAATATAAATGTGTCTCTTCTCACAATATATTCATATTAATTAAAAGTCTTTAAATGTTCTTGTTGTTTTATATTTGATTTACTAATTTTTGCGATGAATGCACAAAATCCGCAGTCTACCAATTACAAACCGCGAACAAGCACTTTGTCATATATGTATAATAAATTATTACTATTATTATTTTGGACTCATTGGAATTACGATTGAAAATAAAATACTTATTTAGCATAAAAATAGTCCGCATCGATTGCAAGATACTGCGTAGGCATTAATTTTCTCTCTAATAACTTCTCCGAGATGGACATAATATCTTCTTACATAATATCTAATGTAATACCCCAACACATAATAACATAATACCCTCTTATATCGATTCTACTTTTCTTACCGAAAATTTCAAGCTCGATACACCGCCGAGGAAGCTAACGTCTCGCTTCGAACATTTAACATTCTGCTCTAAATAATATTGCTCTTAATGTGAATAACTCTATCTCCGAATTACCCTTCCGCAGATTTCTTTCCAAACTTGAGGAAACAGATAAATTTATTATATCGTATACACCTCTGTTAATATACGTATTAATACGTATTTTTATATATTTTCCTTCTTTTTCTTCCACTATCTTTACATTAATCTATTTGTACCTCCGATATTACCGATACACATACAGGGTGTTACGCCTAACTGAGAACAGTGAAATATCTCGGAATAGATCGAAGCTACGAAAATAATGTTTATACAAAAGTATAAACTTTAAGTGTAAAGAGATGTTTTAGCTAGTATCAATAATTTTTTTATTGACATAATGGTGAATGATATTTCAAGGTCGAGTTGATTTCTTTAAATGGGACCATACATTCTTTTAGTCATATTACGATAGCTGGTTTCAATACGAATCCAATATTGTACTATTTCTTTCAAATAATCATAAATTAGAAGCAATTGAGAGATATTTCACTGTTCTCAGTTAGGCGTAACGCCCTGTATATTAAGTAATAATGATAAAACAGTGTTTCGAAATTCTCCAAATGTGTTCGCTTGTTTTGGATACGATCTGCTAATTTTTATCCGAAATGCCTAAAATCCGCAGCTTACGAACAACCACAAACGCTAAACCTAACAGAGTCATAACAGAAACTAACGTGTTTTGGGTTGACCGACGAGACTGTATTTATTTAGATCTCCCGCCAATTTTATTGCTATGAATTAAGTGCTGAAAATCGAACCGAAAAATTCGCTCAAAAATCTAGGCAACTTTGAAACTGAAACTAGAAAGCTAAAATTTATGATAACTAACAGAGTCATAACAGAGCAACTAACGTGTTCTGGGTTGACCGACGAGACTGTATTTATTTAAATCTCCCGCCAATTTTATTGCTATGAATTAAGTGCTGAAAATCGAACCGAAAAATTCGCTCAAAAATCTAGGCAACTTTGAAACTGAAACTAGAAAGCTAAAATTTATGATAACTAACAGAGTCATAACAGAGCAACTAACGTGTTCTGGGTTGACCGACGAGACTGTATTTATTAGATCTCCCGCCAATTTTATTGCTATGAATTAAGAAATTTATTCTTCCTACGAAAGTCTTCATAATCTCAGTAACATTGAAACAAAAAAACATGAACGCAGTTATTTCAACCGGATCGGTAGTTAAGTGCTGAAAATCGAACCGAAAAATTCGCCCAAAAATCTAGGCAACTTTGAAACTGAAACTAGAAAGTTAAAATTTATGATAACTAACAGAGTCATAACAGCAACTAACGTGTTTTGGGTTGACCGACGAGACTGTATTTATTAGATCTCCCGCCAATTTTATTGCTATGAATTAAGAAATTTATTCTTCCTACGAAAGTCTTCATAATCTCAGTAACATTGAAACAAAAAAACATGAACGCAGTTATTTCAACCGGATCGGTAGTTAAGTGCTGAAAATCGAACCGAAAAATTCGCCCAAAAATCTAGGCAACTTTGAAACGGAAACTAGAAAGTTAAAATTTATGCACAGTGCATGAACTCTTCTGAACAATTCTAAGCATCCTAAGAAAATTCAGTTTGTTCGAATATATATATTACAATAAGAATGAATTTTGAAAACTGCTTAAAAATCAGCGTAACCCAAATGTGACCGAGGCGGCACTCGACGCGTTAATTGGATGCCACGAACTGAAGATTCTTGTTGAATTTTGCCGACGTTTTGAACCGACCGCCGCGCGTCGCCGGACGATCGGCCAGTGAACATTCCCGGGCCGCTTATCGTAAACCGATCCGCTTCTCCGATCATCGGTAATTATACGCGCGTTTGATTGACAGCGTTTATTGTACGTAAACATTTTTCCGAAATGGCGCGCTGGAGCGGCGAACCAAGAGAGAGAAAGAAAGAGAGCGAGAGAGAGAGAGTGAGAGAGAGGGAGAGAGAGAGAGAGAGAGAGANGAGAGAGAGAGAGAGAGAGAGAGAGAGAGAGAGAGAGAGAGAGAGAGAGAGAGAGAGAGAGAGAGAGGGTGTCGAAGCTCCGCATCGGTACGTATGCGCGGATAGAAACAGAGAGGAACGAGGCCTGCGAGACTCCTGTCAGACAAAGAAGGACAGGAGGACGACAGAGAAGGGAGGGGCAGGAAACGTGGTGAGGCGTAGTAATGGGACTAATTCGATCACCATTTGAGTGCGTGCAATCAATGCAGCCGGTAGGAATCGGTCGACGCGATCGGACCAGAATCATGGCAAAGTTTGATCCGCGGTAAGATCAACCTCAGTTTCTGCGGAATATTTTTAGCCGACTAGAATCCGTACAAATGCTTCGGTGGAACAAGGAACGCGACGACCTGCGCTCCGCGCACATTAGCTTAATCACTAGTGTACACACGACCGCGGAGAGCGGCGGATTCTCCGGGAAGCAAAACAAAGAAATTCCTATAAATTCGTAGACATCGTTGGTGTCGTGCTTACTCAACGTTCTCCGTGTTATATTATCCGCCGTGACTTTGCAACCTAGTTCCACGAGATCGGGCAACCACCCTCGTGCATAATGCAAATTCGATTTCCCTAAAAATCTCCCTGAGACAGCAGGGAAAAATGTCCCTGTGTTCGTCGCTGAACCAATTCAATTGTTAATCGTTGTAGATCGCGACCAATTTGATTCTTTAATCGAGCATCGATTCCGATTCGAATTCGATTCGAACTTGGGGGAAAAATAGGAACGGTTTTTACTCCTGGTGCACACAAGGGTCAACAGAATCGAAGGTGTTGCATGAGATCACTCGACCGAGATAACGTTCTCGAGAGTCCCTCCTTTGGAAGGATTAATAAATGGCGCTACGATAAACGCAGAGCCCGGTGAGAACTGGCTATAAGTGTCACACTAGGTTTTACGAGCGTGTCGTTCCCATCGCTACGCGAGAGCAAGGCGTTAACTGGAGCAGTGGGATCGAGAAAAAGCAAGATAGTTCATGATCGCGAGGTATCGTGTGTGTGTGTGTAACCCAGACCTGGGATCTGGCAGGACGATCTTCTTGCTGGCACGAGCAGCCGGGGTGTCCCTGCTATTCTCTATGGCCATCAGGTAGCTGACGTCGGCCAGCACCGCCTCGAGGTCCGCCATTTTCCTCGGTGGTCTCTAAAATTTCTCGACACCGCTCTGAACACACCGCTCCGCCCGGAGCTGTTTTCCCACGACGACACCCGCGGCTCGATGGCTGATAGTGGACCCGTCGTCGTTCTCACTGTCGCAACGCTGCCGGTGACGCGGCCAACAACGCCGACATTCTAATCGAGCGACCGTGTTCTCGACCGTGGGCACACCGAGGTCCGAGTCCGCGGCTCTGACAGCTCCGTCGGAAATCTGCGCGCGCGATTTCCAACGAGCAACTACCTCTACGAACTGTGTGTATCTATCGGCCGTGCGGTTCTCTGCTCTCACCCGCGCAACTGTTCACCGTTCACGCGGGTGACGCGGCGTCGATCATCGGCGCGTTCATAACCGCGGAGCCTTTCAGCTGGCGACCGATTCGAATTCTTATCGAAGGCACGAGTTTCTATGCGATCGTTCACATCGGAGGAACGGAAACATCTACGCAGCGTGTACGCCTTACCGACTCTGACTTGCCTCCTCCGACTGCCAACGCCAACGAACTCCGAAAACGCGAGTCTGCGCGTGGCAGTCGCTAAGTTTGTCGCCTGTTTCGCGAACGCGACGCCCTCTAGCGGCGGAACGATGCGCCTACGTTCTCCTGAAAATATATTCGTAACTTCGTACGATTTTCGCGAGGATAAGTGCTATTTGTGTTTTTTAGCCTGCTGAATTTTAATACGATATCGAAAATTCGGACAGTAAATATCAATCGTTTTACGATATTTGGCTGTGCTAGATTGATGATGAACTACTAACGATAACAACTATATCAAAGCGAACGAGTCGTAATATTAAGGAATATATGAATGTATGAAATGCACAGATTTTGTAGTGAAATTACAGAGTAATGTATGCATTTCATACGTATATTATGCATTATGTATACATACAACACCGAGCTGGGCGTTATTCCGAATAATACTCGAAGTGTTATTCGAATAATTTTATAATTTTAAAGTTCGACAACGCGTTTATTCGAAGATTTATTTAATATTCGAATCAAATTTGATTCGAAGAATTTGTTCGAAATACTACTCGAATAACATTTGATTCGAACAATTTATTCGAAATATTTTTCGAATAAAATTTTATATCGAAATGTTATTGGAGTAAAATTTTATATCGAAATGTTATTGGAATAAAATTTTATATCGAAATGTTATTGCAATAAAATTTTACATCGAAATGTTATT